AGACAGTGCTACGATAATACTTGGCCTTAACCCTACTCTTGAGCCTGTCCTCCTACCCCAAGATTCTGCAGTGTCGTGTTATGTGAATACCAAACCGGTATCTTTGGTTTCTCTTGACGCATTGCCAGCTCAGCCACAGCAGGGCCAGCCTGTTACTTTCTCCTTCTTTGCGCCCGGGACAAATCCTGACCTTTCTGCTTCTTAACGTGAGGCGTTGCTAAACTTGCTAACAAAACACAAAGCCTCCTTCTACGCCAATGCTTTGGCACTAGGAGAGACCATAGTTGCACATCATCGCATTCACACTGAAGGTCAGACTGTTGTACGCCGTCGTCCCTACCGACTCTCCTTGGGCGAGCGCGAAATCATCGAAGAGAACGTGACCGATTTGCTAAAAAGAAACATCATACGACACTCTGCCAGTTCTTGGTCATTACCCATTGTGTTGGTACAAAAGAAAGATGGATCGGTACGATTTTGTGTTCATTACCACGTGCTCAACTATATTGCCCGAAAGGAAGTGCATCCGATGCCCCGTATAGATGATGCACTTGACTCATTGCAAGGCGCCCAATACTTCCCCGTCTTTGACCTTTGGTGCGGATATTGGCAAACTTCAATGTACAAAGCAGACAAAGAAAAGACCGCGTTTCCTACGCCAGATGGTCTTTACGAATTTACCGCAATGCCTTTCGGCCTATGTAACGCCCCCACTTTATTTAAAAGGATGATCGACACAGTTTTTTGTGGCCCCAAGAAAAAAACTTGCCCATGCTACCTTCATGATATTGTCGTGTTTTTTCCACTTTTGCCGATCATCTGCAACGCCTAGATGAAATGCTCACATGTCTCTCCAACGCTAAACTTCAACTAAACACAAAGAAGTGCCACTTCGGCGACACAGCTATGAAAGTTCTGGGGCATCTCGTTCGTAAAGATGGCATCCAGCCCGATGTGGACAAAATTTCTGCAGTACTCAATTTTCCGCACCACTTTCGTTCCAAAGAACTACGCAGTTTCCTTGGACTCGCATCGTACTATCGCCACTTCAGTCGCGAATTTGTTACCAATGCTGCTCCTCGCCACAAGATCCGTGCTAGTACCGGTTCCTTCGATTAAAATGATCAATGCGAAGCCTCATTTCAAGAACTCAAGCATGCACTGATATCCCACCAGTGCTTTGTTATTTCGATGACAAGGCACCTACGTTATTACACACTGACGCTAGCGGACAAGGAATTGACGCCATTTTCCTCCAGCACGACCGTGCCTTTCGCGAGATAGTTGTCGTGTATGCAAGCCACACTCTGACCTCTGCAGAGAAGAGGTACTCGATAACCGAACAAGAGTGCTTGGCTGTTGTCTGGTCCATTCGAAAATTTCGGCCATATTTACATGGTCGACATTTTACTGTTGTGACAGACCACCATGCTCTTTGCTGGTTGTCTACAATCAAAAACTTATCGGGGCGACTTGGCTTCTGCATTCTCTAGTTACAATCACATGACTTTAACATCATCTACAAGACCGGAAGACAACACCAATAGGCCGACGTTTTGTTACGATGCCCTTTTTCGCAGTCTTCAGCGCACATCACATCCCCTTGTCAAAATGGCTATGCGGAAAATGCTTCGTCGATATCACCCATTTTGTCGCTACCCTCCTTCACCTGTCCTTCAGTACTTACAACTCACCAGGGAGCCAATTGTTCTTGCACTGACCTCATCGGTCGGCTTACCGGTGCTTCCATTTCACCCAATGCCAGGCTCCGGAAACAACTCCGACTATTCAAGTTGGAGGACAATGGGCTCTAACGATACATTTTCCACCCTGAAGGCTATCGATGGGTTCCCGTCGTAGCACGCGCACTACGCACAACAGTTCTTCGTGCTTCACATGACGACCCAACGTCAGGCCACTTGAATTACTACAAAACCTACGAGCGCATCCGCAGTCGATTCTCCTGGCCAGGTCTTTCCACGACGGTAGCTAAGTATATTGCCTCATGCGCACTTTGCCAACACCGCAAGTGGCCCATCAATGCTCCAGTCGGGATAATACAACCACTTCCTTGCCCAGCAGAGACGTTCTTTGTCGTCGGAATTAACCTTCTCAGGCCCCCTTCCAACTACTTCAGACGGCAACAGATGGATCGTCACTGCGAATAATCACTTGACCTGGTACGCTGAGACGGCCTCAATCACTTCAGGAACTACTTTTGAAGTAGCAACACTTTGTAGGCCCGTGTGCTCAGATTTGGGTGCACGTTAAAGAACCTTAGGTGGTCGAAATTTCTCGAGCCCTCCACTACGGCGTCTCTCATAATCATAGCGTGGTTTTGGCACGTGGAACCCCACAAATCAATCAATTGATGTAGCAACTTTCTTCATAAATGCTTTCAACCTACGTAACGGATCCCCTTGTGTTATTTTGAGCGACCGGGTCAAGGAAGTTCTTTCAAGCATGCTCAGTGAATTTTTTCATGCATCAAAAATAGTTGATAAAACAACATATGGCTATCACCCACAAACGTATGGCTTAACAGAAAGATTTCATCGCACGATGTGCGACATGTTGTCCATGTACATCCGACCGCACCTTCACAATTGTATTGCTATTTTTCACTATGTTACGTATGCATATATTACGTCAGTTCAACGAACCACAGGCTTTTCTTCATTTTTCCTAGTATACGGACGCCAACCGACGTCACCACTCAACATTTCATTCTTTACTGGCCCCGTCAACTCTTCACCATTCGTTTGAGACCAGTTTTCTCCCGTGTTGCTCACTGCCGTCGTCTTGCCCGTGTAAACACCAAAGATAGCCAAGATCACAAACATTGTTACAATGCCACTCACCGCGTCGTTATCTACTACCCTGGTGACGATGTACTTTTTTGAACTCCTGCACGAACGCCTGGCTTATGCAGAAGCTTGAGTAACGCGAAATTGGTTCCTACAATGTTTTTGAACAGACCTCAACGGCGAACTACCGTGTCACTGACTACCGTGTCCCACTGACGAACGCTGCAGCGGGACAGATATTGTACACGTTTCACGTCTCACGGCCTATTGTATGCATTACACAGCGTAATTCGCGGCCTGGTTGGTAGCTTCCGTCGACGGGGGAAATTAGTGTAAGAATTCATTGGACGTCATCTTCCTAACCTGTCAATAAACATCATCAGTCTTCGCGTCGTTCCTCTTTATCATCCGCGCCATCTTGCCCTAGATGTCGACTTCACTTTCCATACGGCCTTTTGTGCTTTCGCCTTCATTGCACCGAAATCTGCCCCCCCCCCTCTTTTCCCCCACAAATGTAATGTGTCAGTATAGCTTGAGCGAAAGTGAACCACTGGTTTCTCCTTTCTTTTTTCTAACTGACCACAGAAAGACCGAATCGGACATTCTCTCTGCCGGAGTCCCTCGTCTTGCTACAGGCAATTGTTTGCCACCCAAGCTCACAGACAATATCCCTACGTGACCTTCAAAGACGCATCGCAGAAGCCCCCTTATCCCCTTCTTTCTTTCTTCTCTTACCTCTTGCTTCATCTTTTTCTTTTTTTTTCTTTTTTTGTTCTTTTTGGTTTGCTCCAGCGAATGAGACGAAGATAAGTTTTCGGCACAGCATATGTCACCACTGTAAAACACCACTAATTTGTCGCTCTCTCCGTTTCCTTCTTGCGCCACCATGTCGATGCGGCATGTTTGCATAGCGTCGCACTTGTTCGCAAACCCTGACGAAGACCGGTCCACCAGTCGAAACCGTCGGTAATAAAATTAAGACAACCGCAAAGTTCTGTTTCATCTTTTCCCAAGTACGTTCGCCCCACTGCAAAAGCTTCTTCAGTATATATATATATATATATTTACCTATTCACTCAGGCTCACTCAAGAGATTCATTTTTCTCTGCAAGCTCAGTCGGATCCAGACTATATAAATGTTTTCTCAAGCTGCTGCACTCGGACTCAAGAACACTAAATATTGCTCAGATAGACTAACTCACACTAACACTCATGGCTTGACATGAGTCTAGGTCAGCCCGAGTCAGTCGACTCATAAGACCAGTGGCGTGAAGCAGGCGTTTCTGTGAGGCAGCATTTCAACGCCAATATCACTGATCGTTAGTCTTCCACAATACGTCGTATTGTGCTTCAAATCAGGTGTGGATCCACTCACTCATTTTAGTAGGGGGGTCACCTGAATTAACATGGGAAAGGTGGCGTAATCAAGATTTTTTGTTTTTGTTAGCAGAAAATCTTCTTCACAGCATAAATACAGTTGTTATGTGCTCACAGTGGTTTCACTAATTCGTAATGATGGGTGATAGGATGTGGGCTACAAGCACTGCGCTGACGAGACCTCGGGGAGGGGGAGGGGAAGAGAAAGTGATCGCCCTTACAACTGCTGCACGTCTGGATCCGCCATTGTTTCAAATACAATTTATCTGTGGTTGCAATTCAGTGAGGACTTTTTTCTATGAAATATGGAACTTGCACAAAATATACAACTCAAAAAGAACGTCCCGTGAATGGCTTTGTGGGGTTAGGTCTTGAAACATGTTGGATATTTTTGTTCATGATAACATTTAGGCTTCGTTATTTTATTTTTACGTGGTTTCCAGCATTTGTATCTTTCTTATATGTCTGTATTTACCTCATGAGTGTGATTCTGTTACTTCATATGTACAGGTGGATGACAAGCTGAAACGCTCAAGCACTACCCACTTAAAAGTGGCCACCACTGACCTAATTGCAATCTTGATACGACGGTTAGCCCCGCCTTTTGATTCCAAAATATAATGATGTAGAGAGAACTAGTGTCGTGTGTGTCATCAGGTTTTGTCTTTCTTTTTCCGCTACTTCTAGCATAATGTGAATAACCTACGTAAAGCTGACGAAAACTGCTGTCGGCGTTCACATCTATACAGCGAGTCTCAGATAAGTGAAAGGAACTGAAATTTGATCCACATCAACTGTTGAAAACAAAATGCCTACCTGCATTTCAAGGTGCGGCAAATGTGCGGCCCGTTGCATCAAAGGCGCCGGTGGAGGCTTCTCGTGGCGAACGTAATAGATGATCAGTTGCACCCAGGTGCCTCCACAGAGAGGAAAATGTGTAACAATGAAGACGTCGTCTGCCTGAGGTTGGTAGGACAGTGCCGAGTGGATATTCTCCTCGGGGTAGAATCGGCTAATGGTGGAGCTGCTGCCCTCTTCTCGGTTTCCATTTTCTGGCATGCTGAGCTAGAAAGTCATAGCAATGACTCTGATTGAATATACAAAGAAAACTTATCCCACACACTTGAAAACTTAAAATTATTTCTCATATTTGTACTGTTGCTGTAAAGGTTCTAGTGCGTATGAAAGAGTATTAAAGAGCTGAGTTTGTTCTAATGAGGGTGCTTGAAGGTTAGGCAACTCTAATATAAGCAATACACTAGGTATTTGAAATAAACATGTTTATTGGCTGCTTACCGATAAATATGTGCATTTAGAATGTGTATCAGCCAGGAACAGAAAGTGACAGATACCATTATCTGCCAATGAAAACCACTTTGAGGAAGGTGGTGGGTTTCTTTCATTTTGACGGTATACAACAGGGTCATGTTCTCTGAGTATTGTTTTCATTGTAAGAGGCAATGGTACATACCACCAGCAAGTACACAATGATGAACGTGTATTATTTGAAAATTTTAAAATAAATTGCGCACAAGAATATTTTCACCTTCTACAACCATATTTTGCGATCATCTCGCAAGATATGCGCCAATGTCATGCAGCAACTTTCGTGCTGTCAATTACGATTTTAATCGTACAGGTGATTTTACGGATTGACCTTAAAAGATGTTTCAAAAGTTTCACTGACCACGAGGCTAAGGTCGAAGGTGGACTCATAATTTTGAGTGTATATACGTAGAGGACAAAGCAGGAAAAAAGGCAAAGAAATGCTTCACAATATACTTTAAACCGTCCCAGTTAATTAAGCACTCAAGCAGCATGTTGTACACATGTTGAAACAGTATTAAAAAATGAAATAGCGAAAGTTCGACAATTGTTCTAACAGTTTGCACATCGTTAGAAATACTTAAACTTTGAGACCTGCCTGTAAAACTTCGTTCATGGTAGTCGCGTAGTTTATTGTTCTTTTTTTTCAAAAACACAAAAACAAGGATTTTGTAGAGATACCCAGATCTTTTACAAAACAACTTTGCCATCACAGCTTACTACCTTAAAATGCAACATATTATTTTACACGTCAATTTTTACAAAATTCTGTTTAATTACATAGGGAGAGCGAGAAAATTATTTTTGAAGCATTACCAGATATGTTTGCCATTTCTTTTTAAACGATATTGCTGAGTGGCTCTCTTTCGATATAGTGGTAATTGGTGGATGTGTCTTTAACAAATCAAGGATCACATGCTGTAGCCTTTGTGCACTGTAGTTTGTTCGTATTCCTTCACTGCAGGATGTTATGGGTATAAAGCTGCATGTATTGTGTCTTAGAGAGTATGCATCGTAAAGTGCGACCACGTTAGATGCCAATTTATAACAATCAATCACGGATATTTTTTGTTAAGCACGTTCTCGAACGTTAACATGTTTTGTTTGTGAAAGAGTGGGGTGGATTTTCTTCTAGATTCAACCTCTCCTATTGGTTGCACTATCCTATTCTGCAATTTATAATGGTTTTATTTGTTTATTTTGTTAGTCTTACCTCATTCTAATGAACAGTATTGAATACGCGTATAAACTAAAGAATAACACAGTTGCCCTGTTACCTAAATCGGCAAACAAACAGCTGAATTTTTCGGATTACACCGACTAAGCTTCAAATATCAGTAACAACTTTGTTTACGTGACATTTACAGTCGCGTGTTTGATGAAAAATAGCACCAAGAAACTTTTGGAATGTGACCCGTTCAATCAAACCTTCCCAAGATCTTACTTGAATGTCATGGCGTTTTTGTTCGTTTTTTTGGTGGAAGAATGCCATATTTAGGTTTTTGTGTTTAGGTGATGTATGGCATTGTTTCTTGTTTGTTGAACATTGTGCAGCCAATATTATGCTCAACATCTTTCAGGCTCCCAAGTGTACGCAAACTCAAGTGTACAGGTCCTGGGGGCTATGTCTTGCGAAAGTAATATTTACTGCGTCTTTGCACCCATAGCCATCTGCTTATCACAGTTGTTTTTGAAAAGGGGCTCTCAGCCAGGGGAGCTGAGTGACATTTAAACCGAAAGGAGACGTGTCCTTGCGCTCCCGTCTTTACCTTATCTTTGCTCCACACTCTTCGCGCGCAGCTATTTTAGGGCTACAAATGGCGCCTCAGAGAGGCAAACGAAAAAAAAACGCCGCAGCAGGACGCTTTCGTGGCAGCCGCGGCATCAACATTGACGCCAATTCAGAAGCAGCAGGCAAAATTCAAACCCGCTTGCTTGAAAAAGAAAAAACCACGTCCCAAGAGGACACCAGCCATGACACTGCCACCTTCTCCACGGCTTCGAGCGAAGAAGAAAGGCAAATTAGAACTTCCTCCTCTCCTACCACGTTCATGACTTCCTGCAAGAGATACCATGCTTGCAGCAACATCACTTCCTCTCACCTCTTCACCACTGCGGTTTCCGAGCAATCTGTGCCTCTGTCGCTTCATTCTCCATTCTCCCGTGAGTGTATCGGATGAAGTGTCCTTACTTGAGAGACAGTTATTGTGCACTTCACACTCCATTTTCTTACCTCTTCGTCTTTTCTCCCTAAAGAATGACTCTCTCCCCTAGTGGGCACGTGCCTCCGAGCACATCTCCGCGCCCCAGAGGTCCCCACTTCGTTTGCGACTAATATCCGAGTGGCCGTATGGCCACCATCATCTCTCGGCCCGTCGAAAAGAAGGCCAACTTCATGGCTGTGTCGAGGGATGTGATCGCAGCCTTCTTTTTGTTGTTCTCAGACACCCAACGTGTGCGGGTGAATTTCAGCCTCAACGTGGTTGCGCTTGATACGCACTCTATCGCCATCGGGACGGTCTGCGATATCAAGGTTTGGGCCAAGCAACTGGGCCTGAACACCTGTGTTAGCGTGGTTTTCAAAGTGAACCAGATGATCCCTTTCAAGGACCTCGCCGATAACATTGCGTCACCAGTGCCACTTGTGTCCGGTGGCCACAGAGGCAACTGCCTAATCCTCACTTTGCAGCAACCACTGTCCCCCTGGATATACTGCCTTACAAGCAAAATCACCCCGTTCGTCCTTGCCTGCCCCTGCAGTGCTCCTGTTGCAGTCCCTTCGAGCACGCAACCGCCAGCTGCGACGAACAGTGCCTGCGCTATGGCACCAGGTACGCCCCGGGATTGTGTGCAGCACAACACCTTCGCTGCACAAAAGGTCGTGGGAACAATCCGCAACCGAGTCACTTTGTCCGTACTGGCAACTTCAGCGCAAGGCCGTGGTCATCATGGCCTCAACTGACTGTACCGTGACTCGTTGCCAGGCCATGGAAGACGCTAGCACTCCTGGTAGCAGCGCGACTATCAAGCGACGCTCCTTCCGAGATGCGCTCGCCGCTACCGGTGGCACGACCTCAGAAGCCACCCCTCGTCCCACACCGAGTGCCCCCGTCGTCCCCACGAAAACGACGACGGCTTCGCCCTCGTCCATAGCTCAGCCGCCATATTCTGTCGTTACCAAGCGTTTGACAGTGAGTCAGACACCGCGTGCTTTTTTCAACCGCTGGTTCGTGGTGCTGTCCCGAAGATCACGACGACGACAACGCCCGCTTCCTCGACCCGCTGGCTCCTGCCGGCCTCTCGTCGGCCGTTGTGATAAACACGCTGCTTGCGGCAATTCGTGCTGCGATCCTGATGCTCTCATTGTACTGTCCTGAGCGGCACTTTAGTGCTGCAGCTTAGAATTAGCCCCTTAAACGTGCGACCATCGGGAACAACTGGACTTACTGAGTGAGTTTGGAAGTTCCCACTCTTCTTCTAAACCACGTTGAACCGTGTGCATCACTGCGCCCGCGGCCTTCTCGGTGGTCCGCTCGGCCGACTAAGTGTTGCGTGCGTGTGTTCTTGCACGCGTAGGTGGGGCGGATCGAATGCGACTTTTTTTGCCTCTCTTCTTCATTTTTCCTTACCTATGTCTTTTTATTTTCACTATCCCAATCCTGTACAGACATGTTGAGGTGTCATCGAAGGAATAGACAGTGACGGGCGCCATTTCTTTTTCCCATTTCTTTTCCATTTATTGTCCCAGAATTAGCAATATCTGCGATACAGCTGGTTGTGTACTTCTGTATTTGCGGAATACTTTTCTTGGCAATGAAGAGCAAGCCTACCGAGCCAAGGTGTACGTGTTCTACCACAAAAAGAGATAGTCCACAATTACGTCCATGTTTGCGTGTGAACATCATTAAAAAACATTACTTTATTTTTTAGGGGAAGTGGCCTACAATGTGGCCCTGCCCGCAACCAAGATATATCATTTTCGTTTTACGTTATGCAGAGCATTTTCGTGTTTTGCACGGGGGAAATCATCGCACGTTTTATGGCCACCTCATAGTGAAAATTGCTTCATAGCCTTTAGAGAAGCGCTCATCACCCTCCGGCTATTACGGCTAGTTGCCGAAGGAGCGTGTGACGAATGGCTGTCTAAGCAGACATAGAAAACGCTATTAAATGTTTTTATTCGAACGCGGCCGTCAACCGGACTACTTTGCGGAAGAGCAGACGTGCAGTTGAGTCCGTAGCTTTCCTTCAATGTCAAGAAGCATTGTCATTGAGCGCTGCTTCAGCGTCACCAAACATGCATTCTCTGGCATATTGTTACCTACAATATTTGCTAGTTGGACTTCAGCGCTGGGATCTTTTAGCCACCATGACAATGATGGGAGGTATCCAGATTTGCCCATATTCATTTTCGATTAGATTTGTGGGTTTAACGTCCCAAAACCATTATATGATTATGAGAGACGCCGTAGTGGAGGGCTCCGGAAATTTTGACCACCTGGGGTTCTTTAACGTGCACCCAAATCTGAGTACACGGGCCTACAACAATTCCGCCTCCATCGAAAATGCAGCCGCCGCAGCCGGGAATTGAACCCGCGACCTGCGGGTCAGCAGCCGAGTACCTTAGCCACTAGACCACCGCGGCGGGGCCCATATTCATTTTCTTTGTGGCCTTCCAATGCACTTGTGTCTATGTTTATTATTATATATTTGGTTTCAGTTTGCATAAAACAATACAT